AAATACATTTAGCAATAAGGGCGTTACTTTGTGCGGTCTCATTTGCCTCGTTAATTAACAACGGGAAAATTTCATGAGAGCCAAGGGACGATGCTTGTCGATCCTCCGTCGATCCTTACAACGCCCGATTTTACCTCTCGTCGAATAATTTCGCTCGTTCTCTCTCCCATTCGCAACAAGTTGGCTCATTTCGAACTTATATCGCGAGATCGCGCTTTAACGCGGTCTAACTGCGTGTGTGGCGCGCGATTAAAAAGAATCTTACAGCGACGGGTGTGGGTCGCCGCGTGGACTGCAACGAAGAAATCTGTCGCAATCGTTTCGGGATTAACGCGTGACGGACTTCTTTTGTCTTCATCGGCGCTCTTCGACTCGCACGCGCGCGCACGCGAGCGGACGGACTCGGATAAACTCACATTTGCATTCGTGTCTGCGTTCGCCGGCGAAGCGAGGCAAAGCGAACAACGCGGGAGGGCGGTCGGAGCCGTGTAAAATGAAAACAGCATTAGCCAGGGGGATAGAGCGGATAAAATGGAAATAACCTCGCCGCGTGCCACTGTGCGACTCGGCGAAATTGATTTTCGCGCGCTTAAGATTTCGCGCTTCGCTCACGGAACGAATTATGTTACTACAGCGTCGTACTGCTAATTCCGCTCGCGGATGTCAATTCGCTCGGCGGCGAGAATGAGACGTCCCGAGCATGGCGACTCGCCTCTCGCCTCGGTCTCACCCATTTCTCAGGAAACGCCGCGGAACGTGCCCGCAACGAAGGCCTGGATCCCGGATTGCGCCTTACTCTCAAAAATTGCGAATTTTCCTGCTCTCGCGGGGCTTCGCGCTCGTATCGATCATTATCGCGGAGATCCGTCGCGCGTTCGGAGCAGCCGGGGGACAATGCGAGATCCGAGCAAGCTTCATCCTTGATAAGAGGCGTCACCTAGCGGATAAAGAGATCGTACGATCTCGCGCGCGCGCGCTCGGCAGCTCGCCAAATAAATTTCCATTCATTTCGATCCGGTCGATCGATCGGACCTGCTATTCGAACCGTTCGTCCCGTTGACACACACTCTCTCTCTCTCTCTCTCTCTCTCTGTATATACTTGACGCACGAGCTCAGTAACGGTGGACGATGTAAGATAGAGCGCCACCGCGGGGTGGCGTCTTCTTCATTCATCGACGCGGCGACGCACTAATTTTGAATAATCAGCGTCGACGTTATCTTCCATATTTACCATGGGGTCTCGCCCCGGGGCCGAGAGATAATAACGTTGATAACGACGAGAGTCAACACATTTAATATGCGCCATTGCCGTGCGATCGTTGTAATACAGAAGCGCGGAATCATTATTCCCGCGATGTAAACCGCGGCAAGTTTCCTCGACATTTAAAGGCCTTCAAAGTTCGCCTGCCGAGCGCGATGGGAATACGAGGGATCGGAGAGCGAAGGCAGCAGCGACGAGCATAGCGGAGGATAGAGAGAAGAGATAAAACTGGAGTTAGAGGGGGAGGGGAAGAGAGAACGATGGAACGAGAGAGCGACAGAGAGAGAGAGAGAGAGGGGGGGGAGGAAGCGAGGGTACAGAATGGATTGAAAGAAAATCTGAGAAACTCGAGAAACAAGAAATTGCGTCTTCGACCCGTTCCATTCCGCTTTGCGCCCTCATTATATGCATCCCTGCAGAGAGATATCGTCGCGGCTATATACCTCGGGGGCTGAAACGTCTCTCGGAGAACTTTATTGTTGATTATTCAGACGAATTTATCGCGAGTCGTTGTTGAGCCGGCCGGCGCGAACGAGCGAGCGAGCGAGCGCGCGCGCGCGCGCGCTCGTTGAACTTGTTGATCCATGCGCGTGCATCTATCGAGCGGACTGAAAGAATCGTCGCTGAAGAGGCTCGGCCCGAGGGTCCTCGAGATGACGAGGACGCGTTCTTAAAACCTTCCGCGGCGCTGAAAGCGCCGGCAGCCTCGCCCGGACGTGCCGCGTCGAGGGCGCGCGCGAGATTTCTCCGACGGACGCCCGACGAGTCCTTCTTCTCTCGCGCTCGCAGCCGGAAATCGCTCGGGACTCGCCCGACATTTTCGAGGATTTCCACCAGCCCATCCTCTACCGCCTACGTCAGGACCCTACGTACCCTTGGACGCGCGAGCAAGAGGGCAGACAGAAGCGATGCCGGGACGCCTCGTGTTCGGCTGCCCCGTCTGGCGGCGGACTCTCCATTGAATCTCGCTGCCGGGTGGCGAGAGAGGTGGCGTCCGCGAGTGGCTACGCGCTGGAAAATGACGCACGAAGACTCGCCCGAGGACACGTCGTCGTCGTCCTCGTCATCGGCATCATCATCATCGCCATCGTCATCGTCGTCGTCGTCGTCGTCGTCGTCGTCGTCATCGTCGTCATCATCGTCGTCGTCGTCGTCGTCGTCGATATTCGAGCGCGAGGAAGTGGTCAAGTTATAATGATCGCAGAGAATCGCGCCACGCGAAAAGAGATTATATATTTACCCCCTTGATCCCCCCTCTACGTTCCCCAAGTCCCACGAGGAGGCAGGCGGCAAGGAGGGAAGAAGAGAGAAGAGGACAGAGGGAGAAAAAGAGTTATTCATATATACATAGAGATATATATCTACATAGATCACATATATACGCATGTTTTCGGTCCACCCCGCGCCGGTTGGACAGAGCGTTGTCTGTTGAGTGTTGATTTCTATATTATATCGAGAGGACCGGAAGCGCGCGCGAGTGATCGCGCGGCTAATCCGAGGGAAAGATGGCGATGGTAATATCGCCCCGCAGCAAAATCGTCACGCTGTCGCTATTGATCGGCATCATCACCGTGGTGGCTCTCATTATAACGGGCGTCATCGGTATCTGGCATCGGAGCGAGAAGACGAGCAACAACAGCGCGGGCACGAAGGTGGTCAGCAGCAAGCTTCAACAGATCACCGGCTACGCCGCGATGCAACACGTGAGTAGTACAACAAAGACAGCGCCGCGCGCGCGCGCGCGCGCGCGCGCGAGATCGGCTGTCGATCGAAGCCGAGGAGGAGAACACGGCCGCTGCGACCTGCGACGTCACAAGCGGCAATATCGGCAATTTCTCTTTTTTCCCTTCCGCGCGACTGAGGATCGTCGAGGCGATCCTGCGCCTCGAAAATAGCCCGGGCCGAATCTCGAGCCCGATAACGCGCACCGCAATGTCGCGGTATCTCGGGGTGTGTATTAAAAAAGGAAAATTTATGTTGATCAAGTTTCGTCGGAATATGAATTTAAATTGGCAATTGCCGCGTGGTCAATCACGATAATTAAAAAACAATGGTGGAGAGCGATCTCTCGGAATAAATTCAGCGACCACTGCGCAAAGTGGGTCGCGCGCAAGAGACAGCATCGATTTCATCATGTCACGTAAACATTTGTATATGGATCTTCGTCACGCCTTGGGTCACTTTGTAGAGAAATCTCGCGAGAAATTGTATCGCACGATACCTTAAGAGCGCGTGACGGAGTGCGCTCGCGGGCAATCGGAAATCCTAAACGCCTACGGGACTTGCGAGACGTCGAAGCAGTCGCAGTTTTCGAGTTATGTGCGAACGATCAAAGTGGACGGATCTATGTCGCACGGAGACTTCACGCACTCCGCATCCCGGCTTCCTTTCTGCCGCGCGCGTTATCCTGCATTCCGCTCCATCCCGCGCGTTTTTCAGCGCGCGTCTCACGACGCGCTTGACGTTTGCGCGTCGTCTCGACGTTTGGCGAATGCCGCGCTTTACGAAGTTTTACGATCGACTTCGGAGCGGAGCCGCTGCGAGTTAAGCTCGCAGCGACGACAGGCGAAATTTCGACTCGGGGGTTTTGAGTGCTTCGGAAAAAAATAAATACTCACGGTACGTCGCGATCAATTCCGTCACTCTGGCGATGGAATCGCGCGCGCGCGCGCGCGCCCGGAAGAGCGCGAGATGAAAACCGACCGCGGAAACTATCAACGCGCGAGACAAAATCGCGAGACTCTCGCGTGATGGCGCAATTCACTCGGCCACGATTATGCGTCGCTCAAAGATAATTGGACGCGTAAATCAGCACTCGCCTGACTTTGCGGCGGGCTCTAAATTCTAACTCGGAAATCCGTGCGTTTTGCAAGCGTATTCGCGGCGCGATAAATTTTTCGTCGCGTCCGGAACATAATCGTACAAATCACGAGTCGTGGTGTGATAAACCGTGAAGTAAAAGCCGGTCGCGAAATCTATTAACGCGAGGGAAATAATCGCGTATTTCGTGCGTGGCGGCGCAATTCAGATGCGCATTATACGTCGCTCGAAAGGCATCAAGGGATCGCATCGAGAGTGAACGAGATTGAATACAATTAGCCCCGATATAAAATGTAAGAATAAACAGCTGAGAAGACACTTTTGTGTCTTGTGAGTGTGCGCTTGTCGGAAATATCAAGTTCAGACGGATGCACGTTTTCCTTTGGTTTACATGCTCCGACTGTCTGTTAAAAGGACGATGCAGCATAAAGATATTAATCGCGACCGATGGACGAACAAAAGAGAGCCGCTGCTCCGCTCTGGCTCCCAATTATATATAATCTTCCGTCATAACCGACTTGAAATTATCTGCCAACGGCTCCAGAGACGTGTCTCAGTGTTTATCTTAAAATTATGCGTGTTTCTACGGAACTGCGCGAGGTCTTCATGAGTGTTTGGAGAAACTCGAGATATCAAGAGACAGAGAGATGTCTCAGTGTCTCCAAAAAATACGAGACAAACATTATTATACGTTGCGAAATCGAATTTCCACGATCTAGAGATAAACAAACAATGGCCTGCTTGTTCGAGCGATATATTTCGTTTTCGATGGCACGTATCAGTTGTACGGGCAAAATGAAACATGCAAAAGTCCAACAGCAAGGCAAATTGCATCGATATTCCAACGAAATTTTCAAAAAAAATATTCAATTATCTACGAATCAACTACCAAATTTCTTTTATTTTTTTCTCACTCACCGAGTACAACCGGAACTCAGGGGCGGCCACATTCTGCTACTCAGATCTGAAACAAAGGAAAACAAGTCCCTTAATTGAAATTATCAATTCAACGCGAAGTACGGCAGGGATATTCTGGCTGATTAATTCTTTACGGTCGTAATTTGAGTCCAAACGCAAGAACGAATAAGAGTCTTGTCGCGTTCATTAGACACGAGATAAACGACGTACAATAAAATGCGATGTTTCACAAATCAACACACGAATTGTAAAAAACTTTGCAAACTAGCAAAAAACTTTGAAAATTGCGAAAATTGTAAAGAGTTACGGGAAATTGTAAATTGCGAATTTTGAATCAATACGACCATTAACGAAGCTCTTGTTCGCCATTTTCCCGCGTGCGAATTTGTCTTGGGAAAAAAAGAAAAACCGTACGTAATTATCCGCGGTACAAATACAAATTATCCTGATGTCTACATTCCGATTTTCGACCACGAGGAATAAAGCAGGAAAACACAAGCGAGATCGCAAACGTACCTTCGAGCCGAATCCTGCTCGGCCCGAACCGGATCCTCCGGTGCTGCATCCGCGTCCTGCAGACCCGCATCCTCCAGACCTGCATCCCCGGATCTGTCTCCGCCAAGCTTGCATCCTGCGGAGCTGCTTCTGTCGTGTAGTCGCAACAACCTTTGTAGAGCCTGAAACAAAGAGGAAAAGAATTTCCCCGATTAGTTACAGCGGCAGAGAAAGATTTCTCTCGGCTTAACTTTCGGAACATCCTCCGCGAAGGAAATCGCGAGCGCTGCTTCGTTCCGTTTCGATCTCTCCGCCCGAAAAGATCGAATTATATTCCACGCGGAGAGCCGACGGGTAATCGGCGCGTTTTTCACAGCAAATGGAAAGCCCCTCATTTTTCTGTACCGGCGATCCAAATTTCCAGCCCGATGTTAAGATTCGGCGAATCACGCGAGGATCGACGTTTAATCAAACGCCGGTGATGCGACCAGAGAGATCCGTCACTTTTCTCGCCCGGTCGTCGGAGCCATCGATCGTCACGCAGATTGCGCCTATTACGTGGGGCGCTATGTATATAAAAGCCATCCAATTTTCACGGGAAATATCGACTTGAGCTTCTTGCGAACGGCCGCGAGTGACATATCCGTTTTTCGGCGAGATAAAAAATTCATCCCCCGTCGGGCACGAAATAATATCGCACGTTCCTCGCCCCCTGCATTTTCCGACTCCGCAAGCGAGGGAGAGACCGCTCTCTATAATTAAGTTAACGTACTCACACATCCCGCTTGATTGGATGTACCTATCCCGAGATGCAATTTTCGACATTGCCGCGTTGCACGCGCGCATTATCGTTCAACATACGCCCTCGTGTTCGCGCCCTCGCGGGTGCACGCGTGCGTGTACGCTTCCGGCGGAATGCTCCACGTCCTATCGCACGCGTGCGAGACACTTTGCTCATCTTCTCATGCATATTAATATTATTCGATGTGAACCGCGAATGCACGAGGTTCCTAAATCACTGGGCTTGCGCTTGAGAAGCGCAAAGCCGTAAATAAACGAAATTAACGTCTCCATTATCGACTATGCTGCGGTGCGAATAAATTTCCCCGACTGCGTTCGAGGGGAACGCGACTCGCAGGAAGGAGTGAGGGCGGGCGGGGAGGGAAGCATGCTTCGGTCGTCGTCGTCGTCGTCGTCGTTCGTCGGAGGCGAAAAAGATATAAAACGAAAAAAGGGTGTACACACAGCGACGGCGACGGGGACGTCGTTTGCTTGCGCCGCGCGAATATTCCGCGCGCATTGGAAACAACGAATGTTTAATCCGTTTATCGGCGAAATAACGTGTCGTGATAGAAAAGTTTTAAGTAGGTCTTACGATTTGCATACTCAACCGCCGGTCTCGTTATGAATAAAATTATACATTGATCTGCGCAAATACACACAGACGCGCATATTTGCATCTATGAATCTGCCTCGCGCGTCCCGACGCTGATTTCCACGCTTTGCATGCATATGTATTAATATTACAGGATGTAAACCGCGTCAGTATCGCAGTTACATCACCGACGGGAAAGTCCCGTTGCGTATTACGCGACGTACGCGAAGGGAGCGGTGCATAGAGAAATTCGCCCTCATTGATCACGTTATTTGGTCGAAATACAAAACCCACTCTCTCTTCGGAGGGGGGCAAAGAGCGGCCCCCTTTGTTGGCGATGAAAATAGTCGGACTTTTGTAAAGACACGAGAGAGAGAGAGAGAGAGAGAGAGAGAGAGAGAGAGAGACGCCGAGATTTGGGACATTTCGCGCGGGATTTCGCCGCGACCGCAGCGCGAGAAAACGTCGCGTCGCATTGCGGCGCGGTACGTTACGGTTAAAAAAAAGAGAAAGAAAGAACGTCAGCCCCAGTCAGTAATTGCTAATTAAAAATTCCTGCCTACTTGTCGCAATTATCAGGGCTTCGCTTCACGAGCCGACTCATGATTTAGCGTTTCGCAATTAAAAGTGGAAACCGGCTCGCGACGCGTCCCGTATTGACTTATTGTTAATCAAGGGTAATCGAACTCGCGGCGGATTTTACCTGTAACGAGCGGATCAATTATTCCGAAATGAGAGACTGCGCGGTAGAAGGAAAACGCGCCGCACGAACTCATCAATTTAGATGAAATTCCACGGATACGTCGGCGCGTGTTGACTCGAGACGCGTAAAACGTCTCCGCTCTCTTCCTTCGGGCCTTCCTTTCTTTCTTAAGGTACGACATCTAAGTTTTAAGTTAAAGAGGGTCTCGCTCTCGCGCCTGCTCTCGCCTGCGTCACTTCCGTCAGCTTCGGTAACAACGCGACGTCGTCTCGTGTGCGTTTATCCTATCCCTGCAGAAATGCGCACCGGCGTTTCTGTTGTGACAAAGTGCGACTTACGCGCAGAGCTCGCTATTCATCCCAGCGCGTTCCTCGGCAATTTCACGTTATGTACAATTTCTTACACAAATCCAGCGACTACGTATAAAAGTATATTGGTCTTCTTAACAGAATAATTTAATCGCTGTCTTTAATCACTGTGCGCGCACCCGTCCGAGTTTCGCCCGAGAGAGTTTACTCGAGTTAAAATTTCGATTCTATATTAATCCTGCAAATACTGTCTCAAACTCGAAACATCGCTCGGAGAATCTCCAGGTATACAACTGGCTATTGTCCCATCTTGATGTTGCGAATGTTTATTTACTGCCGTTTACCTTGAGACTCGCGCGAAGAACCGTTTATATTCCAGAATTATTTCGTATTTGATTTTCCCCGCATTTCATCCTTACTCCTAATTTTAATAATTTACATATTAATTGTGCAACTCATTCTTAGCTGCAGATTAAATGCGAACGGAATATGATATCGGCAGATATAAATAATCAATACGGCTAAATGATAAAAACAATAATAGATAAAGGATATAATAAGAATATTAATAGTAAGCGAAAAATGGAGGTAGATAATTTCGATTTTATAATTTATTTCTTATCATCTTTTCGTCGTTAGTATTATTATCTTCTTTCGAAGCTGGAAGTTTCGATGAGAGATAAATATTCAAACGAGAGATGAGAAGGAAGGAAATCCATCTAACGGAAGGAGCGAAGACCGTGATAATTACCGAGTAAACATTAAGGATATAAATTTATATTCAGTACAATAACAAGTGGAAAATATGACTTTGGCAGACTCGAGATGGAACCCGCGGAATATTTTATATTATATTTTGTTTACGATATTTGAAGAATATCGTCAAACCTAGCGTCAACACGTGACATTCCACTCGTTTATGCGTGTTTGTAATTATTTATGACCTTAAAAGTACGATTTGTTGATTAGCATTTATGAGCCGTTATTCGACTTTTGAAATCGATATTTACCGTGGTATGAAATGAGCGCATTGTGGGCCACCGAATAATAAAAAATTCATGAAGTTATGATGATTCATCAGATGATGACGGGCTATGAATACCGGCTTTGGAATCGATTATTGTAAATTTCAACTAGAATTCTAAATATCCGCGATAAATTCTTCCTTCTCCGGATGCGTGTTAAAAATCGGCTGCACGCCGTATAATTACAGGTATCTGGAGATGTATGATGTATCGCTGCCCGCATCCATCGTCCTACATCCTCCGTGGTGGTTCCTTGCTTCTGCTCGCTTCATAATTCCGGGCAGTCGACGGCATTGATACGATTTGATCGGAGAGACGTGTATTAACTAACGTGATTCTTCCACTTTGGCAATCGACGAAATGTTTTAGTTACTCGACGGGAATTCGGAACACGGCTTTATTTCGCATCGCGTCGCGGTAGTTCGTCGACTCCCAGCTTGGTAACGATCGAGCCGCTGCTTGATCCGCTCAGGTTGATGCTTCGTAATGGACAAGTCGACGCGTTTCGACTCACGACACTCGCTATTGTCGGCTATTATTGAGATAAGAGGTTAGAGCCGATAATAGCCAATCGCGAGCCGCCGTCGCCGACCAATCAATCACGCACACACATTCGCTCGCTCATGCCGAGAAATCGCAATGGTCGACATTTTCGAAACGTCCCGGATGCTCGCGAAATTATTAAATTATCGAGTTACCAAATTGTTCGGACGGTTGCACGCGCGGTGTGTATCGAAAGTGTCGCTCGTAGCATTCGACGGTCACCGTCGGTTAACCTGCGATCATTAATTAACGTCGTGTTTCCGATCGAATCGTACTTCCGTGCGGCACCGTTGAGTGCCTGGCCACGATAACAACCAGGAGCTGACTCTCCGAGGTCAGATTACAGGACGCAAGACGTAACGACAGTCGGCAACGAGACTTGCAATTTCTCCTCTTCCTCACCACCTCATTTGAATCGCAAAACTCCATTGAAATTTCCGATATCAATGCACACGCAAAATAACGATTAAGAAATTATGAAAGGAGCAGGTTTCTTTCGTTAACCACACATTCACCTATATTGGTCCTTTTGAAAGTGTTCAATATTTGCATATTCTATTTGTATGTTTGCATGTGTGTGTGTGTGTGTGTGTGTGCAGTTTAATAAGTGTGTGCACAATAAATACATTTCTCATTAAAATCAGGAATTTGAACAGATTAAACGGAAGAAGACTATTGAGGAATAATCGCAAGTGTCAAATAATTCTTGAATAAACACATCTTCAAGCCTGGATGAAACTATGTGATTATACATATACGTATATTTTTATACGCAAAAACATTTCGATTCGAACAACAATTTTAATTCAACTATTAATACTTCTGGACGCTCGAATGAGCGAGCAAAGAGCAATGACACTAATAAAGAGACTAATTAGCGTCTGCCTAAATCGTTTAATTTTCCGCGAACATGTGAGGATAAATCCGTCTTGTTTAAGAACGGTCGACTTCGTAAAAGGACATGCATACTATGCTTTTTATACCGCAAGTTCTTTTTATACGGCCTTAAGTCACTTAAGGAACATCGTATAATAGCCCGAGTTTTATCCGAGAAATGGCCCTTTTATAAACGTACGTTTCATACCAACCGTCTCAGCCGTTAGAGAGTTTTCAACGGCAATTTTGCACGTCAATTAAGTTGCTTCAAGCGTAACAGGCGCAAAACGAAAACAGAAATCGCTCGGTGCAATTTACTTGCGGATTATTTCCGAGTACGCGATAAGATCGACCGATTGGAGGTTCGTGGTGATACAACTGTGCATATGGTAGAAAGAACTACTCGAATGTTATCCTCTTGATTAACACGAGTTGCTTTATTACACGAAGGACTAATAAGATACAAATAAACCAGGTTTCTATATTCTTAACTATCGAAAAGATGAACGTAAAGTAAAGATTGTAGTACTAGGCGCCGTAAGCAGTAGAATAAGAGGATACCTATCTATTGGGTTGGCAACTAAGTGATTGCGGATTTTAAATAAGAATGAAAATTCAAAATTCAAAATTTGCTTTTTTAAATTTTTTTCAATGCATGTATGCGATACATTGAGCTTCTCTGCAATATCACGTGTTGTGCTATGACGATCTGAATCGATAATGGCCTTGATATGGGTCTCGTCGACTCCAACTGGACGGCCAGATCGTTGAGCATTTTTCAATGAAAAATCACCAGAATGAAATCTGGCAAACCAATTTTGACACTGCCTTTCTTTCAAGGCTTCATTCCCATATACGGCACATAACTTCTTGTGTGCTTGCGATGCGTTCTTGCCTTTTCGGAAATAATACAATAAAATATGTCTGAAGTGCACGTCTTGCTCTTCCATTTTTGGGATAAAAACAAAACTAAAGAACTAATCGATATAATTTTTGTACTAAATGAAAGGTAGAAGTCCAAACAATAAGAAAAAGATATAGGTTAGGTACTTTGAACACGTTAACGAAACAAAAGAAAGTGTAAAATCCATCTGTCGACAAAATTCGCAATCACTTAGTTGCCAACCCAATATATTACGTATATGCAAGACAAGAAATAAAAAGAACCTTCATTGCGCACATCACGTTCTGTTAACAGCGCCGTTACACTAGGCTACTCAAGCGCACTCTATAGAGCCAAATAACTAATACAAGCTAACTACGAAGAGAAGATATGGGCATAAAAAAGAAAGATCGCGACAACTAAATACTAACTAACACAATAATTAATATCGCAACACGACCTTTCCTCTCCGCCACATCGCGAAGAGAGAGAGAGAGAGAGAGAGAGAGAGAGAAACACTTTTAATCCTGTTTCAGACCGCCGAATTCCAAAATAACAGACAAGAAAAATCAGCAAGGCACGTTATTTATATCTGCGCCGGATCGACATCGAGAAACACACAAGCACGCGCGCGGACACGGACATATTTGGTGTGCACTTTCCGCTCTTATCTCGCGCGATCAAATTTCCTGCGGTACTCTCGTTTCAGACAGAGCCCCTCAATCAATATAAACACATCAAAGAAATGCAAGGATATTTCTTTTCGGCAATAGGCATAACGTGCCGGACGGTCACGCGAATGTGTTCGCTTTTATGCACGGCCATCAGGCGTTCTATATTTACGCGTCATCGAGCTACCATCGTAAAGAAACATTTGATCAAACTCACTTTCGCTCGTCCAACACCGAACGAACGTGGAAACGTGAGCGAGAGCGAAAAGGATCGCGAGATCAGTTGCCGAGAGCGCGGGAATCGACCAAATGAAAATTAACAAACACATCGGCGTCCGCGAAACGCAACCGTCCTCGGCTAATCAACCGTAACTCGTGACTCATCCGTCGCAAATCGTGACAAAGGTCACGCGCGAGTGATTTATTTTTCACGGCAAGCACGCTATTGACAAGCACGGAAAAATTCAGGCGGCGTTAATGCGCGCCTGATCGTGCGGTTTACTCGGCCGCGAATCAAATCCATCGGCATCTTTCTCTCGCGGCTCTCGTCGCTGCTCTCCCACGGACATTTTTCGACGGATGAATTATTCAAAGTGGAGTGGCTCCTCGACGAGACGCCACAGGACAAGAGTACGCGAACCGAGGCACGCGGTGGACACGGGCGGATCGAGAATTTCGATGAGATTCACGCCGGAACATGTGCACGCGAGCGCCGCAATGGCGGCTGCTTATTTTCACGGCGAGTCCACTTGCGAGGTCGAGGACGTGCAAGTGGTTTAAGAAATTGCCTCGCGAGCTACCCCGACCCGGACGAAGAAACGTGGCGGATCGTCCGAGTCGCCTTCACGGAAGCCCGATCCTTAATTCGGCGACAAATCCTAAGAGGAAGAAACGTCGACTGGTCGCCCCGTCGGCTCCTCTCATCGCGAGTCAACGGGATAATGAAGTTCCTAACGACTCCTTGGAGCGTACACGTTGCACGCTTCGAACAATAGCGTGCCGGAATTCTGCTTCTACGTTCATCTTGCAAATTCTGTCCAGCTTGAAGGGTAAATAATAATAATCGTATTGTCCGGAGAGTCGAGCAAGACGGAATAAAAATATGATTGATCGCGTGAAATGCAGAGACGAATAACAATAACAATATCATCTGCGTCGACATTTTGCGGTTATTATTTGACGTCATCGATTACATTTCTATTCTGCTTGTCGACTTTCGCGATAGTGCGAGATTATTATTTATTATTATCTCCTCTTTTCATAATACGTATAAGTTGAAGAAGGTTTATAGCGAGGATGAGAATGTTTTCTCGCGTATTCAATTTTAAATATTCGTCGTTCCGTCGCAATTGAAATCTTTTACCAACTTGACTCTCTCTCTCATTAACTTCTTTGTTTATATATTTATATTTAATAACAGATGCAGGCAGACTACTGAGATAATCGAAGGATTTCGAAGCAAATTCTTCCTCACGTCTCAAGACGGGGAAAATGGCAACAAGCAATTTTCATGCGTTTTCAACGTCAAAGGACAATGCGTATGAAACAATGTCATGTGAAATCCTTCGTTCAAGTTCGAGCGAGAATTTGCAGGATCAACATAAAATCAAAGTTTCAACGTAGGTCGCCACGATAGCTCCCTTCCACCTTTCATCGCTCCGTTTCGCTTTTACGGCGAGGAAAATAATTGCTGTAATTTGAAAGATCTCCAACGCGCTCTCCGGAGAGAAAGAGTTGCTCAGGCAAAAGTCTTGCGATTCCTTTTTTCCAAGTTTAGACATAATCAGAAGCTCCGTTACTTAATGACGAAAGTTACAAAGTTACGAGCACCCAAGGCAGACGTAAGCTCGCATAATTTTATAACAGGGCAGCCTCCTTCCGCTCACGCCCGTTTCACGGAAACAATCTCTCGGCGGAGCGAAACGGGCGAAACGTCGCGATAGCCACTGTGACGTGTTCTTCACAGCTTCTGCATAATCATGTTTGTACTTGACCGGACCGTTTTCGGGGGGGAAGTCGTGTCCGGGTCGGCGTGGAAACGGCTGCACGGAAATCTTGGCGATATCACGGCGTCGCGACGAGGAATAGCTAATCCAAATCGCTTTAGGGATCCCATGCAGTCAGGTGGACGATATATTCACGCTTTCGCAAACATTACGGAAAGTCTCTCTCTCTCTCTCTCTCTCTCTCTCTCTCTCTCTCTCTCGCTCTCTTTCGTGCCGCTGGGACAACTAAATCTCACGGCACGTAGCAGCGCGCTCGTTTTTTTTTATTATCGCCGGAACGTCCGGAGAAATTTGTCGGCCTTAAATACGGCCCGGAGAAAATCGCCGAGTTTAAGCACGAGCTTGATAAATTACGTATGCCCGTATAATGCTGTCTCCGCGCCGCAAGCCGCAGGGAACGCGCGAGACGCGAAGCCGCGATATCAACAATGTGGAAGCAAGCGATCGGATATATTTATCACGCGCTCAAATCGTGCCTCTTAAAGCCGCCCTTGGAATTTATCCACGCCTCTCGCTCTTTCGGAATATTTTCACGTGCGGTAACGTGACGTGTGCTGTTGCAACGAACGCTCCGTGAGTCAAATGCAATTAACGTCGTACGAAACAATAATTACTCACGTGTGTCTAACGTGTACGTGCTTACATGCGTGTGCAATAATAATTAATATCTTGCGTACATACAACGATTGCATTCGAGTGCATTCCCGGTGCTTGCTAAAGGAGGCGCCCGATGACCACCCGCAATAATTCTCGGAGACTCTCCGCCGCGGGGCGGCGGACGCGCGATAATATCGGGGAATGAACTTGAATCTTAACGATAAATGTTCGACTCGAATACTCTCGGGCTCGCGACGGCGCGGAAAATCTCACTCGAAGCCGAAGCGAAGCACTTTTACGAGGTACTAAACGGCTGGCCTGGTAGAAGGAATTCTGATATACCGCGGAATCGGCCGGCGTAATCCAAATCTCCTTAGAGAAACGAAATGGAACTTTCCATAAAATATATTTCCTTTCCCGGGAACATTCACCGTCGAATCTTACGTATATAACT